CGATTAATAGGATCTTTTATTCACATGTTTGTCTTCATATGAGTCTGAACAGACATGGGTGTGAACTGTAACTTGACTGGTTGGCGTATGACCACAAGGTGAAAATTCAGTCCAAGGAGTTGCTGATCCACAGTCACCTCACCGATTGGTTCAATGTTTTGTTAAAGTCTTTAAACATAAAACATAACTTTGGAGAAGTGAAGGGTTTTTTCTTTTTTCTTCTATATTTTTTTCACCCAGAGATGTGAACACACCATCTGCTGCACGTGTGTCTGAAGACAGGCGTGCTGCACACGGGGATTGGTTTCGGTTTGAACAGACTTCAAAGACCACACAACAAACTTAAAGGAGTTAAATCTATTGGAATTCATTCAAAAGAACAGTGCTGGGACTGTCTTACTGGAACTCAATCAGAAATCTTATGGATGGAGAATATTTGAGGTTTGAAGTTTTCTTTTGAGTTTTTGGGGGGAAATAACACTTCAGTTGAAAATCTGGTCTGCTGATGTTTTGCAGCTCAAGGGGAAAAGTCTAAGAGAAAACTTGACTGTTCCAATTAAAAACATTAATAACCGTACAAACCTTTTAATGCCATAAAGTAACGCGCAGAAACCTTAAAATCCATGGACACCAGCTTTCATTCATTTTTCTGTTGTGTTTATGCAAAAGCAGCATATATACTATGAGAAATTACTGTGCTCTGTCCACGTGCTCATGGACCTCAAAGAAACCCTGCGTGAGTCTGGAACTGGATCGAGCCGGTCTGGTTGCTTGTTTGGTATCAGGTTCAGTTGTCGCCAGTCTTTTGGGTTCTCTCCTTGTTTGTAATTGTTCCCTCATGATAGACAATCATACATAACAAAGGACTTCTGAACTGTGAGTGCACATTTGAAGTTAATTTAATTTTAATTTTAATTTTATTTATTCAGGACAGTGCATGTTAATGAACATAAATGTCAAAAAGATTACATGAATGTAAACATACCAGATTATAGCCAAGGGCTAATTTCCATCTGTTGTCTTTAAACATAAAAAATAGACATAATAATTCATAAAGATTCATCATTCATTCATAATAACAACACATGACAGTGGTGGTGGGAAGTCGGTTGTTTGTCAAGTAGTTTTAAACTTCTTTTATAAATGTTTTCAATAGTTTTAAGTGTTGTTGGACAAGCAAGTGACCAGGACGTCAAACAATAGTCCATATGAGAGATGATCATTGAGTCAAAATAAGTTTTTGCAACATTCATATTTAAATTATTACGTATATGATTAAAATTTTGATTATTAAATTTAAGTATCTGGGACACTTTATTTATGTGACTCTTGTAGGATAATGTTGGGTCTAGAATGACCCCAAGATATTTAAATTCTGGAGCTAATTCAAGCTCTACTCCATCCAGGAATATGTTTGACTGCTTCAAGTTTAAGGGGCGTTTGGAAAAATACATACAGACAGTTTTTGAGGTGTTCAACATTAGGCATGAGTCCTCCAGCCAGCTATGCATTAATGCTAAAGCAGCTGTAAGATCTTTTGCCACCTGCTGGACACTATTTGCTTATATAACTGCATCATCCGCATACATTTGAGCAAATATATTTGGACAGACTTCAGGTAAGTTATTGATAAAAAGAGAGAACAATAAGGGCCCAAGAACAGATCCTTGAGGAACCCCTGTATCACAGTCTAAATATGGAGATTTAACCAACACCACACACTGTTTCCTGTGTGAGAGATATGAGGCAAACCACTGAAGAGCCTGACTGGAGATATTAAACTGAGTCAATCTGGACAACAATATCTGATGGTTTACAGAGTTGAAAGCCTTCTTCAGATCTAAAAATACAGCTCCAACACAGGGACTCTTGTCCAGCAAGCTCTTCAAGTTCTCCACTAACATACACAGGGCAGTATCTGTGGAGTGATGTGCCCGAAAGCCAAACTGCAATGGATGCAATGAGGGGTGGTTGTTTTCTAGGCGAGCAGTGAGGAGTATAATCACATCAACATATGTCTATGTTCAACAACCAGGTGGCCTCAGATTCCTCCTGTATAACCAGCCTGGTGTTGGACTACAACGTCATCTTTTACTTATCATTTCTTCTTTTAAAAACCAAAAATAATACTGATCAACTTCCATAATCTCATATCTGTTTAAAATAGTAACAGATTCCTTTCAGTATCTATAAGATTCTTCCATTAAGGCCTCCATGAATAAATAAACTTCTCCAGGGCACCGTAGCTAAACACAGCACTCACATATTGGGGCAATGAAGCATCATATGATCCATCTGTTTAACTCCCTCCCTGCAGTCCCACTAAGCAAGCTAACAGTGAATTAATTATTTCTCTTTCTCCACTGTTCCCTCTTTAATAAAGATGTTTAAGTCCAAATGGTTTCGCTCTTGCGTTTGCATCAGGGCTTGTTTTTCATTTACTGTTTGCGTCTTTGCTTACATATTGACCACAAGAGATCATCAACTGTGAAGTGTTAATGTCACTGATGTGCAGGTTTAAAACCTAGTAGCATAAAAAATGCACAAAACATTATGGCAGAGACAACAAGACAAGTAATTTTCTTATGTAGCTACAATTTTTACATAAACTTGTGCTTTTCTACATAAATCCTCCACTGCCTCCAGCATCACCACTACTGTAGGGTAGTGTGTGAAAGCCTCCCCCACCCATCAAACACAGATTCTGGGATCAGAATAGAGAAAAATGTCTATTATCATATTTCTGGTATTCAGGGCATTCTCCAAAACAAACAAAGTGAGTTGAGAAGCTCACTGTTATCTTCTGTGATCATGTGCGTTTCTCTGGCAGAAATCACAACATTTGGAGGATGTTCAACTATTAAGCAGAAATAATTTGATATCTGTGGTTTTATCAATGCGTTGGTGTGTCCAGACGCAGCACTTAAGCACTCTCTTATGTTTTCTTCATTTGTTCTTTATCTGTGCTTTTAATTCTGTTACAGTACAAAAGCATGAATTGTTTATACAGACGCATGGAATTATTAAAAAGTGGTGAAATTTGACAGAAACAGGAAATATTGTTGACAGATCAACATGTGCAGTGCACTACCAAGGCAACAAACAGCTGGAATAAACCATCCAGCAATGTTAACGACTCCTACAAGCCCTCCCTACTCCAACTCGTGCAACTCTGACCATCTTCCATTGTTTCTGATGGCCGCACACAGAGCTGTGCAGAAACAACAACTCCAGGACTGTTTAGAACAAACACAATGGGAACTGTTTGCTCAGCAAGCTGCACAGAGCACACAGATAGAACTGGAGGACTATACATCCGATATATACCGAAACATGGATGAACATAGAGGTGAAATCCCTTCGCAAAGCATAACTCTGAGATCCTCACAGCCTGCAGTGTTACCAGGTCAAGTAAAGACAAAGAGGTATAAAAAAAAGTTCAGAGATATCTACAGGAAGTGTGTGGAGGATCACTTTAACAGCAATGATACCAGGGGCATGTGGAAAAGCATCACAGCCATTAACTGACCACAAAGGCACAACACTTTGGCTAAAAAAGTCAGCACTTTTGTTGCCCTTTTACTCCAGTAACCACACTCCACTTACGAAGATAACAACCACGAGTGCCGAGTCTGCCACACTAAACTCTGCAAGGCCAGGCCATGGAAAACTGCTGGATCCAGGACTAAAGTCTGTGTATCTTTAAATTATTCCTATCTGTGGAAACGGTCCATGCATGCCTCAAGTCAGCCAGAGAAAGCAAACTGAAAGTGAAAGACTGGTCCTCTCCCACATCAAGGCCAATATCCTTACCTCTCTGCAATCACATCACAGGATACCATCCCTCTCTCCATACAGCCCTGACTCATCAAGAGGAGCGGGTCACATATGTTAGGATGCTATTTGTAGACAGCAGCTCTGCCTTTAATACTGCTCACCCACAGACTGCACCAGTTGGATCTCAGCTCACCAGTATATGTAACGGGATCCTCAGTTTCTTGTCAAAGCATCATCACGGTTTGGCACCAGTTTCTCTTCAATCAATGATGAATCGTCTACAGAGTGGAGGTGCAAAATGTGGTGAGATGGTGCCCAGTGAACAAACACTCCCTAAACACAGAGAGTTGGTCATCAGGGACTGGAAGGAGTGTGTACCAACCTTCTTGATGACTCACATCTCTGTTCAGTACATAGGCACTATCAGACTACACACAGTCAAGTACTATAGGGGGATGTATAGAGTAAAACAAAGTAAAACGCATGCAGGACACGTTTGCACGGCTGATATAAAAAGAAGATTTGTTGAAAAGAGCAGAGGGGAAGGTAAACTTAAAAACTCAGCAATAAAGAGATGATTAATCACCTCCCTCAGTGTTTTTATTTAAAGGTAAAATAGCTGTGTTTAAGTTCGGGCTGTTTATCGGAGGTGCATGTTTGTTGTCGTCTAAGACCCAGGATGATAAATCTGCAGCTATCATACACGTTGGATCAGGCAGCTGATGGTTAAAAATCATTTTTAAAGAAGTTTAAAGTTAAAAAAAAGTAAATTAACAATCTGATTATTTGACTGTGGAGCATATCTGCATTTACTGCAACAACAGCACAGCCAAAACTGTCTCCTGTTATGTGGACAGGAGAACACAAACGGTAGTTTGACTGCAGATTTATGAGTATTGCATTCATAAAATCATATTACTGGCCCCGCAGAATAGAAATATATTGGAGAGTACTTCAATTTCATCTTTGTCTAATTGACTACATTTCAACATGGAGATGGAGAAAGCTTTATCTTTCCTTTGAAGACAAATTAAAGATGGATTATTAATAGCACTCTAAATAGTTCCTGCTGATGTTCATCACAATGAATCAAAGTTTGACCGGGCCTTTAAAATCTGCAGTGGTCCTGCAGACTCAGATATTTCAAATAGCTTCCATGTGGAGTTCACATAGTCGTCAACTGTAGCCATACATGTTCCCAGGCAGCAGGGGCAGCAGCTCATAATCACATTAATCACATGCACAACAGCAGGGCCATATGTACACAGATGTGTCTGACATGCCTGAGCTGGTGTGTAAATGTATCATCTAAACATGTAGAAGCATCACGCTGTGCTGATGTTCTCATTAAATCTGACTTTTCCAAAATTCCTCAAAAACTCTGGAGCCTGCATTTGAACTGATAAACTATCCTGATGCGTTGGACTTTTCTGTTTAACTGCAAAACAATAGAGAAGAGATAAGAATATAATGTGTGTATAATGTACATGACCTGAATATAATTCAATTAGCCCACAAAATGTCTCTGAGCTATAAAATCATTTCAGTGCCATTAGAGTAAAAATCACACAGCGACGTCGTTGGTTATCTTTTGATCGGAATCAGAATCAGAAAGACTTCATTTATCCCCGAGAGGCGATTAACGTGGATTTGTTTCAAATATATGAGCAGGACTGTTTATGCAACAGATCTGAGAGTTTCAGTGTATCGTAGTGAATCGTGTATAATCATGAACAGTTTGCATGTTATTGCCAGCGTCACTCCTTTCAGTCATAAACTGATATTTACACTGATCGCTGACTTGCACCAAAGCCCCTTTGAAGATGGCAGCCGGCTGCAGCCGACCTCCATCTTCACACAAACCATTTCAAAGACAACAAAACTGCAATTTCATTGCACACCAATAATTTTGACAATTGTGTTATGGTAATAAGTCTGTGTTACTTTACATAAGATTTTCTGTTATTTATGACCGTTTGATAAACAAACATCCACTTATGCTTAAGCAAATTAACCCTTACTTAAAAAATGCTTAAAAATATTTATGTTCCAATCTTGATGAGTTTCCTTTATGGGAAAATTTACCATCAGATGGGTGATGAAGCATAATCAGAGCTAAAGTGGCTCAGCTGATTAAACAGCCCTTAAGTGACAGATTACAGCTTCATTAATTAGCTTTCTTATTAAAACTGCATCAGCTGTTTGCAAAGGAAATCCTTTATGCGTCGTATCTGTGGTTTGATTGGGCCCCACAGCAGATGCCGCAGAGTGGATGCAGTTTCACATAGAAGCCACTATGATCAGATTGAGGGCTGTCTCACTCCTGCAGCCTGTCCTACTCGTAGATATTGTCCACTCTGACCTGATGGTGCACGGTCGCTCATACTGGCCTGTCAATG